ATGTTTAGCTGTAGTTTTCTGCTTTGAAGGGAAGAGCAGAAAAGCTCTTAGTTTGTCATTAATTTTTCCCAACTATAGACATAATACCTTTCTGAATAATCTACCCGAGGTCTAGTGTATCAAAAGGTTTTTTACCCACTAGCTTATAGGAATATGATTTATTTAAAATGTTGATTGACTTGTGGATCTTGTTCCTTCAAAAAATTTGGTTAATTATTTCCCATGCATTTACAAATAGTACTGAGCTGAAAATGTAACACGGAACCATTTGTGAATCTCCAGGGTTCCCATTCTATGCAGCTGTCTTTCTCTAGTACTCTGCCACACAAATTCCATCCATCTTGGGCTGCCTGACAGGCCAGATCTAACTGTAAGTCAGGGAGACTGCCCCGCTCTATCTGGTTTCCTGATCCCTGTCTCTGCCCTGGAGACTGTTCTCCAGCAGGTAGTTGGAGTAACTGTAGAGCTCATTTTATGTGTTTACTGTATCTGAGAAATTACTGTTGTGCTGTAGATCTTTCAAAATCTGAAAACTATTGTTTCATATATTGTGTCTTTTGTATTCTTTTTATGTTTTTTATGTTATTTCATAAATTCTTAAAGGAGAAATCACTCTCTATCTCCTTGATCTCAAATATATTATTTAATATATTTCCTCAGCTACTTTTTACACACTCGCCTTTAATGTGCTGAAATTCTAATGGTACATGTGATTTTACATAGAGTCCCAATTTTATACCTTGCAATGTGAACTAGTTTCCTCTGTACTTACTTTTAAGAAATCTGTATTTTTTCTCTGTTGATTTGCTCCAGCACACTTTTAAAATTATATATTCTTATTCATATCTACTTCCAACTGTCTTTAAACTATCTAGTCTTTTTCATTGATTTTATTATTTGACAATCTCATTTTGTCTTTAGTATTAGAGTTTTGCACTGGTGTCTATTTTCTTTCTAACTTTATGTTTTCATTTCCTTTTAAGTTGTGATAGCATTGCTTGGAGTATTCTTACTGTGTTAAATAGCAATTATAATAGTACATATCCCCATCTTGTTTATAATCTTAGGTAAACCTACAGAATGTCTTTATATGTATATTTGGCTTTTCCTTCATGATACCTTGAAGGGAGATACTTAGGGGCAGATGAGGATTATGAAATCGGTTTAAATTTCAGTTGTTCATATTCACTTATACATGAATACTCACATCAATAAGTCTGAAATAGCAAGAATATAGTTCTTGATATTTTGTGTATCAGGGCAATAAAATATGTAATGTATATTTTATGAACATTGAATCCCTCCTGATTAAAAATATATCCTTCAATTATACAGTAATCACATTTTTCTTTATAAATTTTAAAATGAAACAATGAGGTATGAAAGATACTGGATTCAAAATAAACTTAGAATATGGTTTTAGTGAGGTCTTTTGAAATTAAGCAAGTTATCTCACTTCTATGAGTCTTAGCTGTGTTATGTGTACAATTAAGACTTAAATTTCTAACTCAGAGTGTTTGTAAACATTACATTAGATGTGAATCTTAAATAGCATATGGCACATTGAAAAAAATAATTTCTCTTTAGTAGATGTTTGCTTCTGATGTGTACTGAAAAATGAGGTAATGCTCATGCTCTTGTATGTAATTTTGTGATGTCTCTAATAGTTACACAGTAATAATTTTATAACAACTTTATCAACTAATCATGACATTATCATTTACTAAAAATAGCCACTAGCAGGGTGTAGTTGTGCATGCCTGTAATCCCAACACTCAGGAGGCTAAGGCAGGAGGATTGCCTTGAGTTTCAGAGCAGCCTGGGCTACATAATGAGTTCAAACCCAGCTTGAGTTACAGAGCAAAAACTTGTCTCACCAAAAACAAAAAAACAAAAAATGGTCATTGTGCTATCATGAATGCTAAGGTTTGAACCAATACATATAGATATACTTAAACTGAAAATAATTCTGTATAGTTGAATTATTTTTTCAATGCCACTCAAGTAGATATTTGTTTTTTTATTTGTTTGTTTGGGTCTTTTTTGGTAGCAGGGATCGAACTCAGGACCTTGCACTTGCAGGACAGGCAGAGGCACCACTGAGCTAAATCCCTGGCCTGATATTTGTTAATTTAACTTTTGAACTAAACATTTTTCTCTTTTGAATGGTTAAGATCATACAAACATGAGCAAAGGAGAATATAGATATTTATTTAATAATTTATATTTCATAGTAATTTTATATAATTTATATTTTATATAAAATATATTAACTTGGGGTTGTTGCAGTGTAAAAGTTTGAGACCTGAGCTGGGCACGGTGGTGCACACCTGTCATCCCAGCACTCTGGGATGGTAAAGCAGAAGAATCAAATTCAAACCCAGCTTGGGAAATTTAGCAACTGAATGAGACTCTGTCTCAAAATCAAAATTAAAAAAGGGCTGAGCATGTGGCTCAATGTGAAGGACCTGAGTTCAGTCTTCAATAATGAAAAACAAATTTGAGAACTTTCACAATTTAGAAGACTGCCTTTAGAAGCTTACTTTGCATAATGAGATGAAGTTACAAGGGAAATTTTAAATAACTTTGAAGACAAAATTTCTAGAGACATTTCAATTTATATGTAAATTAATTTCATTGGTGTATATTTAAAATATATAAATATAAAGAAAATAGCCTTATATTCAAATGCATGTATGTGAAAATTCTAGTTAGCCAATTTTAACTTTATAACAGATCAGTTTAAGAAAATCAAAAAAGTACAATAAGAAATTGTAATTGAGTCACAAAGCAAAGAAATTAATTACAATGGAAATGTGTTGTCTAATTCAACTATGATGAGACAATGTTGTTCTTGGTAGTTCATGTCTGAAACAGTTGCCATGTCAGTGGTGTGCAAATGTATGCCTTCAATCTGCTCATGGATAGGTCATTGTAGGTGATGTTTGACTAATTTCCATGTTATTGTACAGTTTTATTCTTCAATAATTAAGAGCTAGCCGAAGGTTTTTCAAAATGAAAAATGTGTTATTTAGCTAACTCAAGAACCAGACACATCCTATTTAGTGTGGTTATCAAGCTGGGCATGGTGGTACACTTCTGTAGTGTAGCTATTGAGGAGGCTGAGACAGGAGGATCACTTGAGCCTTTGAGTTCCAGACCAATCTGGTCAAAACATAAGACTGTATCACAAGAAAAATCAGATTTTTGTTGAATTTATACTCAGGGGTGGCATTTGTCATAGGCATATATACACTCAGCATTAATAGATGCTATGAAGCTAGTTTCCAAAGAGGGGGAAAATAGCTGGCAAAACACTGTAGTGGAAATTATTATTTCTAATACAAGTGAATATATCACTGTGACTAGAAAATTCACACCTGGGGTTTATTCAAATGTGCACCAGAAGACATGTAAAGGAATCTTCATAGAAACCTTATCTAAATTGCCTAAAATTGTGCCAAATTGTAATGTTAATCAACATCAGAATGGAATAATAAACACAAATATATTTCTAAAATAAAAAATAGTAATGAAAAATGCTACACAAAAAGCATGAGTAGCTCCAATAGATACAATGTTGAGTGAAAGAAGTTAGACTGGAACGTGTAAGTAGGGTGTTCCAGAGCTACCAAACTAACTTGTGCTAAGAACAGGCAGGACAGTGGTTTACTTTGAGGGTTGATGGTTAGCTTTCTCATTGTGAATGGTGGTAAGATTGAGCAGTAGGAATTGTGCGCTTCTGTGTATTGCAATTCCATAAAATATAAATGTAAAAATAATATGTCTACTCTAGGTGGGAGTTTCCATACACAGTGAAATCAAAATATGCAGTCGATGTTTAAATTTTAAAAGCTTATAACACTAAAGGGCACATTGACACCAATCTACCTCAGAATACTCTCCTTCAAATACACTCAATGTCCTCTTTCATATAAAACTTTACACACTGTTGCATTGTGGTTGGCTTGATATCCTGAATTGATTAGAAGCTTTTAACTTTCTTGGTCATTTTGCCTTTTGGAGGAGCCAGAAGACTCATGGTGCTAGATCCAGGCAATAGGGCAAATGACGATGCATTGTAGTGTTTTTATAAGCCTTTTCATTGGATGGCACTGGGGAGGAGCATTCACCATATTTTTGAACACACCTAATTTAGGCACTCACGAAAGAGGGCTTCCGGATCGATTCAGAAAGTGGCAAGAATGATGGGTTAAGAGTGTTTGCAGTGAGAAGTGTTTTTAGGGAGTTGTATGGCAATGTCTCGTTTACTGTAATAAAAATTTTAAAAAATACACATTTATCGTATATTTTGATCACGTCTCTTATGTGGGATAAGCAAAGAAGAAGATAAAAAGAAGAGTAGAGAGAGGGTCTCTTTCTTTCCGTTTTCCTTTGTGCCTCTTCTGCTTCCTAAGCTGAATGCTCCGGCCTTGGGGACTTGCCAACTTAGCTCTGCAGCCCTCAGAGATTCACAAACTTCAAGCGCAGGGCTCCTCCGCTCCGAGGAATGGATGTGTGAGGGGAGGCTGTGTGAGGGAGGACTCAGCTCCCCTCCAGTGCCGCAGCAGAGGCGGTGGAAGCAAGAGCGGAGTCGCGGGACCCTGGAGTGGCCGCGCCCCCCGCCCGGTCCCAGCGTTTCAGAGGCTGCTGGCTGGACAGCTCCAGGACTACTTCCGCGCCCCGGTCCTTCCGGCCGGCAGGTTCTTTTGCTAACCCCACCCTGACGGAGCTGCGCTTTTCAAAGGGCTCTTCGCTTGCTCTAGACGAAAACGAACCGTTAGAGAAGGAAGGAAGACGCGACTGCTCTTTTTTTTCCCTTAAAAAATTAAATCCCGAGCTAGCAGTAATATAAGCCCATCCAGATTGGAGAGCCAGAGCGTGGACAGACTTTGCACCGGGTCCCGATCTATTTGGGACGCGGCGGTGTGACTTGCTCCTCCCAACAGTGAAACTTGCCAGGGCAGAAAGGAAACTGATTAAATCCAGGTCGCGCGCGTTGCACTTTTGGGGACCCCGGGGCTCCCGAGAAGTCCAGCGGAATCTCAGGCAAAGGACACCATGCCTCCCAAGTCTCAGTCCACTCTCGCCTACACCGTTGGCGGGAATCTGAGCAGTTTCCTTTCCGAGGGCTCCGAAAAGGATTTCCTGCCCGGCTCCGACGGGACCACGGCGGAGCTGGTGATCCGCTGCGTGATCCCGTCCCTCTACCTGCTCATCATCACGGTGGGCTTGCTGGGCAATGTCATACTGGTGAAGATCTTCATCACCAACAGCGCCATGAGGAGCGTGCCCAGCATCTTCATCTCTAACCTGGCCGCTGGGGACTTGCTGCTGCTGCTCACCTGCGTGCCGGTGGACGCCTCGCGCTACTTCTTGGACGAGTGGATGTTCGGAAAGGTGGGCTGCAAGCTGATCCCGGCCATACAGCTCACCTCCGTGGGGGTTTCCGTGTTCACTCTCACGGCCCTGAGCGCCGACAGGTGAGAGCACGGGTCGTCTGGCAGTGGTCCGGGACAGGGGTGGGAGAGAAGTTTTCCTGGAGAGCCCGGCCTGGCGGAAGGGTGCTAGGAAAGGCTGGACCGAGGGGGAGATAGGGAGAGAGTGATGTGGGAGGAAAGTAAAGAAGAAGGGACTGAGTTGCGAAGATCTGAAAATCCTTGTTTTAAACACAAAAATGAATTCACATTCCCATGGCATATCCTACGCATTCTGTTCCCACACACACTTCGGGAACCTAGCTTACTGATTTCTAGAAAAGCTATAGAATAAATATGCAAGGGTACTAGTATCTTGTGGGACCTTCTCACATGTCCCTAAACCCTTCAAGTGTACTTTCTTTAGGAAGTAGGCTACTGCCCTGGAAGGGAACAATGACCCCCTTAGTACTGGGGAAATATTTAATTTAAAAATTTAAATAAGGGGAAGCATCTTTTGCACGTGTGAAGTAAATGTTATTTATTGATGTGAAAATAATGAGGATAATAAATGTTTTTCAGACAGACGGGATATCCCACTCTTCCTGTTCAATATCTGAAGTCAAGTGACACATTTTTTTTTTCAAAGATGGGAACTAAAGTTTGATATCCTGAAACAGTACCCTAAAAGTGCACCATTGATATCTAGTCTATTTATCATCTATTCTAGCAATGTTAAATCCATTATTGCACCCAGCAGTTCAACCTGCTCAACCTTGTGATTTTTTTCAGGTGTTGATACTGAAGCTCAGGGAATGTAAATCCTCTTGGAAAGGCCAAGAGAGAGATCCAGGCCTCTGACTGAGGTCCAGTACCACTGAGCTAGACCGTCTGTAGTCATGTTTTGGACATGTTAGCAGGAGGGAATGTCTGGGTAGAGGGGGAGGAGATAAACACCATTAGTTGTCATTGTACGGAGCTGTGGTTTAATTTCTCTGGGAATGGAGGGGGTGCGGCAAGCTATTTAGCTAAACAGTTTAACTTGGATAATTAAGGTGGTGCTCATTCTCCTCTTTAATTTACATCTTACTAATGAAAAAAATGAGTCTGGCTTTGAATGCCCAGGTATTTACAGTACTAGTCTTATGTTGCTTTGGCATTGAAGAGTTCATCTCTGTTGAAAGAATGACTGTGTTCAGTGGAGAGGTTGCTTATTTATTTTTTAACTGTGATTCATTCACTTTAGTTCATGTAGTATACCCTCTACAACTACACTCCAAGAAAATCAGGTGACTTTTGTGAGAATTCTGCATCTCATTTTATTTATATGGCACTATTCCTATCGCCATTTGAAAAGTTTTCTTTGAATTCCAAAACTAAAGTGTGATTTTGTAATGTAGCTGCCCCACTTCAGGGACCCATTTTAGTTAGAAAGTTAAAAAATTCAACTTAATGATTAAAATAGAACTGAATGATTAGTTATCATGATAGTTGAAATTACAACCATTATGCTTTAATTTTTAAAACATGACATTATTAGCAAGATCCAGAGCTTTAATTTATTTCACACAAATTTTCTTAATCTACAGTATTTTCATGGAGATACAGAGGTAAATATAACCTGGTCAACATCAGAAAAATGCTAGCCCTCATATATTTAGTTACTTGTTTGATTTCATATGCACATTGTGTGCTTTGTGAATACAGAATAGATAGTTTTAATCATAATGATAAAGGTGGGATGTTGCTTCTACTTGAACTACAGACTTAGTTTCAACTTATTTCAAAGAAATCTAAGATAGCTAAAAAATAAAGATATAAATGTGTAACAGGAGTGAAAAAAGGAAGAAAATCAAGGGTAAGAAAAATAGAAGAAAAACAAGGCTTTTACAAAATGTGAACAATAAAGTTTTCTGAGAATTTTCTAGTTGCAGGTTCAATAATAATAATAATAATAAGCACTCATTGTTATATTTACATAAACATAGAAACAGGGTCAGTTATAATTCTGCACCTAATTTATTGGTTTATTATTAAATAATGGTTGTATTTCACTGCAACAAGTTAAGTGTCTTTTACTCATTGATCTCAACCACTTCTAGCTTATTTCCCTTTCTCTTCTCCTTAGAAGGAACACCACATTTTGACTTAGAAAGGTGCCATGTAATTCTTACAATGAATAATATTGCTGTTCTTTAGATACTACTTTGTGGGCTTTGAAGATTATTAGTATACCTTAATCTAGAACCGGGATACACTCCAAGAAACAAGGGAATGCACTGGGCTGCATTAATGGCACCTGGGTGCTAACCCCGCATCTATTATTTCCAGATGTTTTACTTGGAGAAAGATGACAGAAACAGTCCAAATCACATGGCAGTGTTTTCCCACTTGCAAAATAAGAATAATACCTTTGGCATGACATGGCATATTGTAAAGGCAGAAATCTTATTCTTCAAACACTGAATGGCTGTTGGGTTTCAGATTCTTTCTATGCAGGTATCTAAAGTGTACCAATTGTCTTGGACAACATACGGGAAGCTTGTGGCAAAGATGAACACTGGTGTGCTCAGTCCTCTTGAAATTTTCTTTCTAAACTCAACTTATATTCTGAATCACCTGAAAACTTCAGTCCACGCAGAACCTTGCATTTTAAAGTTTCTGCATTATTGAATCTGGAGAGAATCTAATATTATTTATCTTTTTTTCAGTTCTCTTAATGATTCTGAAAATTGGTGTATTGAGGGTATTGGTGTATTGAGTCTGTCTCCATTTCCTGCCATCATTCCTGCCTCAACCTAGTATCTAAAACTCCTACCCCATTCAACCACAATTTCTTTTAATAAGTGATCTCTTTCTTACTCAGGCCATATTTTTTTCATTAATTCAACAGCCATTTATTGAAAACCTACTATAGGCCAGGCATTATGCTGTGTACTAGAGATACAGTAATAAGCAAGACTTCTCCATTTATTGTCATATATTTTACATTTGGACTACTTTTTTGGCAAGATACAATAAAATGTGATAAGAAAAATGTATGGATATTATAACAAAATGCTTGTGAAAATGTGGAGATGGAGATTTTGAGACGTGATGACATTCTAAAAGGTAAAAATTATCTAATTTTTTTCATTTTGTATTATGATTAAATTTATGTATCTCTTAAAATAAAATCTAGGCTGTGCACAGATACCATAGGCAAGATTCAAAATGGGAGTTGATGAAGAAATATATCTAATTATTTATACTTAATATGTGAATAGCAATATGCTTCTCTTTGCCTTTGATCATTCTTTTGTGTTCAAATTTCAAATGTAACTTATTATGCTACAGGATCCAGTTAAATGGGTTTAATGCTAAGATGTACCCTTCCATTTTATATAAATATTTGAAAGAAGCATGATAAAGTATGCTCTCTTTATAGGCCCTGGATGGCTTTAATTTCTGCTTTACATCCTTCAAAGATGCACATACAACACAGATTAGTGTCTAACATCCTCCCTTGATAACTGTAAGCTATGTTTCAGTACCAGTATTGACACTTTAGTAATCTTATTTTCAACTGTCATTTCTAGTTTTGCAGAATTTGCAGTACTGCCCTTTTATTCAAATGTGTATTCTAAGACTGTTTTTGAGATCTAGCCTCCTGTTCTTAACAGAGGTAAGTCAAAATCTCCCCTTTAGATGAGGTAGGTCTTCATTATTCTTTTCCTACTCTTCTGCTAAAGGTCTTGCTTTCCCTAAACCAAGAATTTTGTATCAGTTGCTGGCAATCTTATCAGAAGTTATTGATTGAAATTTCCCAACATCATTTATGGATATTATACTGCCCATTCTGACTACTGTGGTTGGGATGTTTGCATCCTCCCTAAATTCATAATTTGAAGTCCTAACCCCCAAATTCTCTTGTTAGGTAGTGGGGACTTTGGAAGGTAATTAGGTCATGGGAGCAGGGCCCTTCTGAATGAGATTAGTGCCCTCATAAAATAAACTGCAGGAAGACCTTACTGGTTCTATTGCATGGAGAGACAGCGAGAAGTATCAGTAATGAGAAATCAAATCTGCTAGTACCTTGATCTTGAATTTTCTATTCTCCATGATTGTGAAAAAATAAATGTAGTATGTTCATAAGCCACCTCACCTTGAGAATTTTGTTATAGTAGTCTCAAGTAATGAAGTAGTCCTAGACTTTAAGCCTCTTTTAGTAGCTGCAATAGTATACGCTTAGATTTTGGGTAGATAAGTCACATTTTCCTTCTCCTTTGTAAACATATGGAGGAAGCTCAGAATGCCTTTTGTGATTTTTGGTAATCTAAACACAAGCCTTGATCTATTGTTAGTGATCACCTATTGATCCTTTCTTTATAATCATCAACATAAAATTAAAAACAATATGCCTTTTAGCACTTTGCTTTTACTTATGAATTATCAATCAATAATTATCTAACTTTATGGAAGAAATTTCAGTACAAAGAGACCAAGCACCAAAAACCTGGAACTATGCTAGAAAGAGAAGATTAATTTTTTTCTTTATTAGTTCCATAGATAATATGCCAAAAAGATACACACATAATATAGGAATAGAATAATATGAAAAAGGAATGGTTTGAAGGAAAGAAAAATGTTTGAGAAAACAAAAACATCATATCAGAAATTAAAAGTTACTAAAAAAGGATGAAAGAGAAAACTAATTAGCTTAGAAAATAAAACCAAGAAGAAGTTGTAGAAATACTTAGTAAATGTCAAACTAAAAAAGAAGCACTGAGATTCAAGAATTAGATTTCCAATTACCCAGGTTGGTGGTAAAGAAACATTTCAAACATAAAATAAATTCAAGTAGGTGGAAAATTATGCAAATAAAAAATGAACAAATATTGACTCTTGGAAAATCAGAAGTGTTTATAAGAACATCATCATAATATGCTGCTGAACTCTGTGGTACACAATATTTTTGTCATAATATTGTAAATTGACTATACTTAAACACAATTTAAGTGCTGAAATCAGGACTTTGGGCATTGGGGGAGGAGAGATCGTAAGTAAAGACAGAAAAATCTTCAACTACCATAACAGAATGCCAATAATTGATATTTATATTTCAAGAAACAGTGGTAGAACTACATTTCTGTGAAATATAGAGAAAATGATATGGAATTTATTATAATTCATGACTAGGATATGAGGTAAAATGAGGCTTCTATTTTTATTTACAAGACTCAAGGCTCTCTTATTTTAAAAAATGAGTACATATCTAATTAAAAAATAAAAATACCTCACTCTAGCTTATTAACTCCAATTGTTCTTTCATTTTCATAAGCGCACACAGTTGAGAAGAATAAGAGAAGGGAACGCCTGCCTTTTTTTTTTAAGCATGGCCTCAATTTTATTCCCTTTGTTCAACAGTCTGGAAAGGGAAGGGGCCCAGGAGTCAGGGCTGCTCCTTAGGATCATGAAGCAGGGAGTCTTTATTGATCACCTGGGGTGACAGATTCCGAATGCCCTCTTCATGGTCCTGATGTCAAAAGGATGGAGGGGGGTTTCCAATGGGGATTCCAGGCCTCTCACCATTCATCAAGTCTGCTCTTCTTAGAGTTAAATACAGCAAGGAGCAGTCCCTGAGGATCCGGGGTGGGTGTTTTCAGAGGTCAAGAGAAGGATGTCAAGCTGTCTCCGGCCATGGTGTGGGGGAGGTCAGGGATCCTCATGCCTTTGGGTAAGTAGATCTCAGCATGACACTGCCAAGCCTACTGGCCTCCCAGGCTGCTCTCAGCCCTAGCGGCAGAGGGGCGAGGTCTGACCTGTCACTCTACATAGGGAATGTGGGAATCTCTTCCCGCCTACCACGTTGCTCTCTGTCCCCACAGTGGGTGGAGTGAGTCTCTTAAGATCTCTCATCTTCCATCAGATGAGGTCCCGGTCCTCCCCAAACTGTCAAGAGGGACTTCTTGGGTCACTGAGTGAGCTCTTCCACCATATAGGCGACCTAGGAGAGATGCATTGTACCTGCTAAGTTTAGTGTTGAAGGCCCTTAGTGTTCCCTTCTTTACTTCCCATGTATTTCCTGTGTCGTGGGAGGAAGTCCTTCTAGACCAAAACACGAACTTTCCTTCCCTATGGAGAGTTTGAAAATAGCACTGGGGACAAATCAGGAGAAAGAGAGGCTTCCCTCGGAGTGAGGTTGAGGGGGTGAGCTGTTCATCTCCAGAGGGAAATAGAATTACAGATCCACAGAAAAAGACCTTAACTGGTGTCAAGTGGCTTAAAATAAGCTGAATTTTTAGAACATCCAGTAAGTTAAGTATTTGTAAGGATGAAGTATGGCATCTTGGCATGGTAAGGATTTTCTAAACTTTTTCCTTTAAAAAAACTTGGAGCATACAATGTTTATGTCCCCACTTTACAAATGAAGAAAAAGCCAGAAAAATGGTTTTCCCAAAGACATCAGAGATGAGATAGCTCAATTTTGTCTGACTTCATTTTGTTACCTATTGAAGACAAATATAAATAACCTATTTGAAGACAAATATAAATAATCTGAGGGTCATGCACAAGTTTTGTTTGCTTGCATTCTTATTACCTTACTTATGAGTGTGACTGGGTTAGCTATAGAAATTTTAGATTAAAATTTCTGTCCTGGAGTGTGAATCCTTTATTACTAATGGTGTTTCATTTCCAGTTCTTATGAAAATTCCAACCTGGATTAGTATCTAAGATTTATTGACATCCTTGGGAAAAAATGTAGGAGGTACCATGCTCAGAAGATGTAGGAGGAAGCCATTAGGATTTCATTGTATTGTATTGTGGGCTTTTAATATTTTACAGATATTGTTTGCAGTTGTTATAGCAATGATAAAGTTTTTGGAAATAAAATTATTTAAATAAAAATTCAATAAATGATATTTATTAGTGTGTGTATATTTAGAAAAAGAAATCTATGAAAAAGGCAGGTAAGTGACCACGATTTGGGAGAGTTTTTCTTTCTTTTCAAAAGAATAACTTGGGACGTATTGTCTTCCTAGGTACAGGGCCATTGTCAACCCCATGGATATGCAGAAGTCGGGCGCTGTACTGTGGACTTGTGTGAAGGCTGTGGGCATCTGGGTGGTCTCTGTGTTGCTGGCAATTCCCGAAGCTGTGTTTTCAGAAGTGGCACACATTAAGAGCTTGGATAATAGCAGCTTCACAGCATGCATACCTTACCCTCAGACAAATGAATTACATCCAAAGATTCATTCAGTGCTCATATTTTTGGTCTATTTCCTCATACCACTTGTTATTATTAGCATTTATTATTATCACATTGCAAAGACTTTAATTAAAAGTGCACATAATCTTCCTGGGGAATATAATGAACATACCAAAAAACAGGTAAGCTTGGTAGATGTGTGTGTGTGTGTGTGTGTGTGTGTGTGTGTTGAGAGTGTGCTGCTCAGAATCAGAAATTGGAATTTTGCAGTGTATTTTATGGGCTTCCTATCCCATGAATGGTGAGGACAGCATTGGGCTTGCACTAGTCTTAACTTGAAGGGATTTTGGAAGATTTCTAATATGTAGTTTCTTGTCCTGCAAAGGTCTAGATGATGGCTTATCTGCCATCTGGGGCTGGGTTGTGACTTGGAATTCCACCATTAGAAATTTAATGTACCTGAAGGATTTTATTTACATGCAAGAATGTATGCAAAGATCCACATCATAAACTAGAAATTTTTACATATTGAATATAAATATATTTAATCATTGTTGCTTTTCCAAATATCACATTAAGGATAAGTGAGTATGATAGAAGGATGCAGCAGGAAATACCTAAGGGCATTGACTGGGATCTGGAGAAGAGATTTGGATGGAATATCAGAAAGGGAGGTCCTGGGAAAAGCAAAGCAGCAGAAATTGAATGAGTGTGATCCTGAACTGGGTTGATTGGAAAATACTTGGCCTGCTGCAAATGTATAACTTTCCTTATAAAAATTATATACCCATTGATATAGTTTTTCCTTCCTTAAAGAATAGACAGTATTAATTTCAGGTAAAACTAATTGTGTTTATCTACAAAGGGACGGAAATAGTGTCTTTTGGGAATATATGTAGTTGATCATTTGTGTATTCGTAGCAAAGAACTTCTAAAGTGTTTTGTCTGTGCAGGAAACCAAGGGGTACCTAATTTGAAGCCAAAAAAAATTACTTGGATGTAGATAGAGTAAAAGTCTGCATCCTTGTGCCCTCTAACAATTGCAGAACCTGGTAAAATTTTCTTACATGGAGTAACCTCCCTTAATTGATAACCATAGACACCAAGCTCCATTTCTGCTTTTAAGATTTGAAAAAGTCAACCAATCTTCAAAGAAATGTTTGGATACCTTAATAGATTTACTCTCCAAATATTTGACATTACTGCAGCAAAATGTTCAGGTTATAGGCTCATTGTGCTATTTCTGTATATAAGCAGTTTTAAAAAATTTAGAACCTTGTAATTCAATTTAGATATTTAAGTTTTGGCTCTTGGTTTCTAAAGTTGAACTCCTTTCACTCACATAACCCCTTCTTCTCCTATTGATTTTCCCCATGGCTTTCGTTCTGCCTTGTTTTTGTTAATTTCTCTTTGGGGCCTACAAACGCTGGCTGGGTCTTGACATTTGTGAAGAAATCATCTGAAAGTTACTAGCCTGACTGTATGTTGGAATCTCCAGATATAAACTGCTATGAAATTCTCACAACCATGTTCCACCTGCTTGGGGAAAACACTGTTGAATAATGAACAAATTTCATATATGACCTCCTTAATATTGCAAGGTTATCTGATTTATGTCGTGGGGTATGTCTGGACCACTACATTCTTCTTTTTAGTGTCAACTTAGTTCCAATCCTAAAACCTCTCCAGTCTTCTCTAGAATATTCTAGTTGATGATCCCAGAAAATATCATGATGACTACTATTAGTGTCTTTTGATATTACATTTTCACATTTGTGTTGCCTTGTATAAACATTTAAGCAGACTAGGAAAATAGCTAAATCTTGGACTGTAGATGTTAGAAAATTACTCTCAGATAAAAAAATATTAATTTTAGACATTTGAATTTTGTCTGTCAGATCCCTAAAGATCTTCTTATAAGGCAGTAAACACAGTATGTAAATTTTATGAAGGTAAAAAACTGTATTTTTATTGGTAAAAGTAACCCAGCATAGTAATATTAACAATGTCCAGTTCTAGAATCTTTTTCTGGTTTATGTGATTCAAGAATTTAAATCTCAAGTGCTGTGTGTATGTGTGTGTGTGTGTGTGTGTGTGTATGTGTATGGAGTAAGGCTTTAAAGAGTCAAACCCTGTTTTAACAGATCATATCCTCCTATTTAAAATGCTCTGATGTATTTTATAACCAAGATACATCATGTAAAGGTACAAGATCCCAATGATAAATGTAACTGTACTGTATACCTAAAATTTACCAATAAAGTTAATGGAGTTTGATCCCAGGAACCAAAAAATAAATAAATAAGTAAAGTTAATGGAAAAAAAATAGTAAGTGTTCAAACTAAAATTAAATTCAATAAACATAGGGTTGTAGCATCTTAAAAAAATAAAATGTCCTGATTTAAAAAAATAACTATGCATGAATGTATTCTAGTTCACTAAATTAGTACACTTAATTGACATGGAAATTGTTTTTATTTCTACTGAACACAATGAAACTTTAAGCAAAAGAAAAATAGTTTTAAGTTTTGACAATTTTTTTAAGAGCACAGTTCTAACATGAACATATAGCCAACTATTAATAATTTACCATCCAGTCTTGTATAGGCTATTAAATTGTTTAAAATAGAATTGGTGGGGGAAACAAAATAGGCTTCACCAAACTCTACTAAAATAATCATTTTTTAAGGAAATAAGGAATTCTGTGTTTTGGATATATTTTCATTCTACAAGTTTTACTCTTTTTGTGACATGATAAGTTTTGGCTGTGGCTGGCTCCAAACAGTTTAAGCCATAGAATCATTTGCTTCTCTTTACAGATGGAAACACGGAAACGCTTGGCTAAGATTGTCCTGGTCTTTGTGGGCTGCTTTATCTTCTGTTGGTTTCCAAATCACATTCTCTACATGTATCGGTCTTTCAACTACAAGGAGATCGATCCATCGCTAGGCCACATGATTGTCACCTTAGTTGCCCGAGTTCTGAGTTTTTGCAATTCTTGCGTCAATCCATTTGCTCTTTATCTACTCAGTGAAAGCTTCAGGAAACATTTCAACAGCCAGCTATGTTGCGGAAAGAAGCCCTATCCAGAGCGATCCACCAGCTGCCTGCTCAGCTCTTCAGCAGTGCGAATGACATCTCTGAAAAGCAATGCTAAGAACCTGGTGACCAATTCTGTTTTACTAAATGGGCACGGTACAAACCAGGAAATGGCACTGTGATTATGGCTATTCAACTGACTACTTGAAAAGAAGGCACTAACTTTTCTGTTTCTTTTGGGCAGAGGATAATTAATTGCTCTGGTTTTACTGTTGCTCATCCAGTTCATTAGACTATTTCATGATTGACTCAGAGAAGCTAAACATTTTTCTCTGAAGGGAGCCTTACATTGTAACAAGTAATATGTATATTCACAGAAACGCACATACATCTCATTAAAAGTGACTGAAAAGCAATTTAATATGTGTAGAAATCAATATTGCTTTAAGGTTTTGGCAGTTCCTGGAGCAAACTGTAACATATTGCTCTTAAACTTGTCTTATTTGGAGCATAAAATTACTTCTTATAGGCTAAATCATTTAATGGGACATAATATTCAAGCCCCTATTATTTGAAATACAAATCATATTTTCCTGGTGGACAAATTTTTTCATAACTACTCTATGTTATATAATAAAATTCATTATATAATCTTGTACAGCTTAATCGTATGTGAATACCATTTATTGTGGTATTTTGTGTGATTACTCATAGTTTATTGAAATAGCTTATGTCTGTTGACTTCTATGTACTGCATGTGATTAAAACATACGATGACATTTGTATTATGAATTGTAAATAAGTGTCATGTACAAAGGCTTACCTTATGAATGTAAAACAGATTCCAAATTGCAAAATGATGACTCAGAAACTTGCATGTCCATATTTGTATACATTGTTAAATCCTTAACAATTGGTTGATTCTGTATAGATGTGATAAGATCTGTAAAATTCTTTTGAGTTCTCATCCCGCCTTGCAATAGCCAGCTGACAAGTGTGTGAGATTTCAGGCAAATTTTCTCTGTATGATATCACGTATTTTTTATGAATAAATGTCCTGATTTGTGTCAGCAAAAATGCAACCACGATCTTTATTAAATACTAAAAGCTACCCTCGTCTTAAGTATGCATCAATAAGTCTTATATGAATCAGTATGTTTCTTTTTCCAAATTTACTGAGATGACCCTGTTAGTATATTAAGGTCTTCCTTTAACAACTCTAATTCATACTATTTAGATGGGAACTATTCAGTTGTATATAGCAATTGAGAAAATAAACACAAGCAAATTGTTTACCATATCTGATAATAATAATAATGATAATGAACAATAATAAAATATTTTGTGTTTTAGGCATAGTCCAGAAGCTGTATGTTTATTATCTAACTTAATCCTCAGAATAGTCACTGAGGTGAACAAGGGAAAGATCATATTTTGACAGGGTGTGAAGTTACCTAATTCAGAGAGCATCTTTATTCAGGAGTACACAATTTTGCAAATTAAATGAAAACTTCATGTCATGTGAACACTGTGACAGAGACTCAAATTTAGGCTTCATTAGCTTCATTGTAAACTCAACTGTGAAATATCTTATTATATATATATTATTTAACATCTATATTTTATAGATTAGGAAATTGAAACACAGAACTATTAAATAACCCTAAGAATATTATTTGGCCATGTGGAAAAGTTGGACTACAAAACCAGATGCCGTAGCATGGTGCGCACCCTTTACCCCACCACCACTGAAATGTGGTTTGAATACTTGTTATTAACCCTTGGGCGAGCTGAAGATTCACATATTATGAACTCACAAATACATTATTCACAGGTTTTATATATTTTTGAAGATTTAATAAATCTTCAAAATCCCATCAATTGAAACCTAAGGACCACACCTCCAGAATAAGAATTCTTGGCTGATGCAGAATCTTTTTTTTTGGTAGTATTAAAATGATGGCACATAAACATGAAGACTGTGAGGTCTATTCATATATATCTTGTATGATCCTTTTAGCTTAATATATACACACATATATTTTGCATATATATGGAATATGGAGCTTTGCAATATAGATGCACACATATTTTGTGAGACATACATGTTTATGATACCATATTTATGAACAAAACTAAAAGGATATATGCATATACTAACTATAAATTTCTGATAATTTAGAGTTTCAGAGAATAACGGCGCTATAACCTGAAATCAGTTTGGTTTGCAACAATGAAAAATATTTATTAATGAAATATGAAGAATTTTTTACTTACACATATTTTATGAAAAAAGTGTTTCTGTAGTGACAGTTGAGTACGAATGGCACCGCAGATTTCAATTTTCCTTTTGCAAAATTAAGAATCTTAATAATAAGCACATATCTGAACATACAATGTTACCAAACTTTTGGCTCCATTTAAAATTTTCCTTCTGGTAGTTTTATATTGATACTGAACTCAGAATTTCTTTTAATGTTAAGCGCATGCTTTTTAGAGATTTAGTCAATATTTAGAGCTCTTTTTAAAAAAGAAAGCAGATTGAAGATTATCAGTGAAAACTATTTAAAATTTGGCTGTTGTACTCTACTGCTGGGTTGTGATCCTAGTCACTAACTGTGAGAACCAGTCACTAACCAGTCACTAACTGTCAGAATTTCTCATTTTCAAGAAGTTTTGTAAAATTTGTCATTTTATCAAATACTCTTTCTTTGGAACAAATACCCGAGAGTTACTACTTTGTGTCTTAGTTACTTTTCTCATTGCTGAGACAAAATGCGCAGCTCTCAAAGTTAAAGGGAGAAAAGGTATATTTGGCTTACAGTTCATAGAGATTTCAGTCCTTAATCAGCTGGCTCCAAGGCAGTGTGGCTTGGCAGAAGACAAACAGTTTACAATGGCAGCTAGAAGGTAGCAAAGCAAGGGAGCAAGGGTAGGGCCCTCAACAGCTGCTTTCTGCCTCTTTTATCTTGTGTAGATTACTTAGGGCAGGTAGCAGGCACTCACACCCTCAATCCTAGTACCCTTGAGCCTGGTATTGTACCATGAATCAGTTCCCGAAAAAGCTCCACCTGTGACGGCAGTGAGGCTTTGGGAAGACAAGACATAAGCCATAACACTTTGGTATATATATTACAATGTGGGACCACACTATATATGTAGAATAATGAAAGCAAATATTTAATAATTGAACTTATCATACACTTTCCGAGTCAAACAAGACTTCATGCTTTACATAAATGTACCCACAGGTACACATATGTGATTGAGTTCATATTAAAATTTGATATTGAACTTTGGCATTTGTTAAATTTTTATATATGTTTAGTCTATTCTTAGAAATATTTATACAGATCATCTTTATAATGTTTGGACATGATTGCTCCATTCTACAATTGTACAAAAAAGAAATGTATTTAATGGAAACTGCATTTTGAAATTTGTTCTTTTTCTGAGGTGGGGCTGTCCAGTACTGTGCTCTTTCTGGATGCTGGGCAGCAGCTGGGAGCCACAGCCTCCAGTCCACCATGACTTACCAGGCTAAATCGGCAATAGTGTTCTCGGCAGTGCACTATACTAAAATTATGATACATTCAATACTTTATTGCAAAATCAGCCTTTTATTGAATGGTTTTTCTCAGCTTTACTCTATTGTAAATGTTTTAAATATATTTAGGGTAGGCAAGGCTAAAGTATGTTGTTCTGTAGGCTGTGACTTAAGTGCATTTTTGGCATATTTTCAACTTACAATAGGTTTATCAATGGGTTCATTAGCATATCTTGTAGTTGGAAAAGCACCTGTAGTGTCTGAAGGCATTTGAAGATTTCACGGCTCTTGCTGTGGTTTAAATGTGTTCCTCAAAGTTCATGTGTTGAACATTTAATCCCTAGTGCACCAGAGGACCTTTAAGAGGTGATTAAGACTTGCCCTCAAGAAGTGATTAAGCTCTGGCCTCAAGACGGGACAAATACTGTAATCCTGGAACTAAGTTCATTAGCACATCTTTACGAGGATGAGCTCAGCTTCCTTCCCTGTTTCTTGCAGTCTGTCCGGCCCTGTTATGCCTTCTACCAGTTTGTAGTGCGGCAAGGTGCACCATGACAGATGGGACGCCTTAATCCCAGAGTAGTTTAGCCTCCAGAGCTGTGAGACAAACTTCTGTTATTTAGACAGCCAGTCTGTGATATCCTGTTAAAAAACAGACTAAGACAGTTCTTATTACCAATTATGTCAAAATAAATCAGAAGACCACCTCAAATCCCACCTGAACTACATAGTGAGTTCAAGGCCATCCTGGAATCCATAGTGAAAGTCTGTCTCAAAACAACAAAATAAGCAAATAAAATAAATTATTCCTAAATTTATCTGTGAAATGCACATGGCAGAAGTAAACCAATCAAATTATATACATTATTTAGAAGTAGAATAAAATTGCCAACTCTAATCTATTAAACATACATTGATTAAAATAGATCTATAAAAAGATAATCACTTACTGATTTGTATAATTCTGCCTTGTAGTATCCTATGCAATATTTCAACAAATATTTCTGAAAAATACATATAACCTGCTAATATCTATGATAATAGTGAAATTTCACCAAGTTCTTATTTTTAATGTAGACAATAAGATATGCCATTGTACATGAATCTCCTTTTTAAATCAGGAGTTGTTTGAGCAAAATACAAGAAGATGGGATCCTTTGAATACTTGGGACAACAGACTATTACCCCTCAATTGTCTTATTAGTAAGATGGGTTAGCAATATTGTAAAGATTAAATTATACAATGCATGTTACATTGTCACAGTGGTTAGCATAATACTGTATTAAGTATTCCGTGAAAGTAATTTGGAAGAAAAGGTCCAAAGGAGAAGGGGAAATGGGAGGGGTAGGGGAAAGGAACAAAGGGAAAGGAATAAATATGAAAAAAGGAAAAAATGGAAACAAAATCTTTGCAAACAGGGAGGGAGGAGGGGTGAAGGGAGGGCAAGGGAATGGGGAAAAAATAAGAACCAAGACATATCATGTAAAGGTACAAATTCCCAGTGATGAATGTCATCATATTGTATACCTAAAATGTACCAATAAAATTAATAAATAAAAAACTGAAAAAAACCCAATAAAAACTAAAATTATCTTTCCTCCTGTAATAAAATAATTAAAAATTGTTAAACACTTACTATATGCTGAACATAGTACTATATCCTTTATATGAATCATCATATCAGTTGATAAGGCAGGCATAGTCTAATTCCCAGCCGATGTATAAGGAAACAAAGGGTTAATTAGCAGATAAGATATAGAAGGATGAGATTATTGTTGAGCTTTTATCTGTCCTTAAATTTATATACAGTCATGCATTAGATAATAACATTTCATTCCATGGACTGCATATATTACATATGCTGTAAGATTATATTCCTTAGTAATGTCATTGCCCTCTTAGTTTGTGTATGCATGATCTGGGGTGTTTGTACAATGATGAAATCATCTAATGCTGCATTTTTCAGAATACATGCAGAAAATATTCACAAATTTCTAAGAAATGAAATGCTTATACCACTAGGCTGATCTTAAAATACAGTAGGCATATGTTTTTCAGCTTCAAGTAAATTAATATATATATATGTTTTTGTATATTCCTTATATTTTTCCAAACAGTAGGGGAAAAGTCTGAGAAAATATGGTCAGCTTTGGTGCAGAAAGTCATTTTGTAAATTCATAGAAGCATAAAATGAAGAGGACTAACAAAAGTTAGGTTACAACTGCATTTGTAATGAACACGAGAAGAAACATTATCAATAGGCTGTTTTCAGCATCTTTACATCATTTTGTTTCCTAATTCATTTTGCCAAGTCAATCCAAGTGCTCTGTTTTTTCTGTTTGTTGTATCTTACCACAGTTTGAAACAATGTTTTCTTTTACACCGGGGCAAATCTTAATTTGCATTGGGTAACTTGTGTTTGAAGAGCTACACAGTGAAACTTCATCAATATTTTACTTCTGGTAACTAACTCTTCTCTTGGGGCATAGATGGATAATAATTTCCCAGTTTTCCTCAG